GCCCAAGACTGCCAGCACCCCCAGAGCTGGGAGCAGCAGATCCTTCCTGACAGCCCTCAGGGAATCAACACCACTGACCCTTCATCTCAGACTGCCAGCTTCTAGTACTGATGGACAATATATCGTTAAGCCACCCAGTTTGCAATATTTTTAACAACCTAGCTAACATTCCAGTCCATTTCGCAAGACCCAGTACAAGTGTTTCCGCCTCTAACTCCCTAAGCCATTTCTAAGGGTGATCAGGCTGCTGTAGCAAAATATCACAGGCATGTTTTATGCAAACAGAAGACTAAGTTTACCTCTAACGGCTCTGAAGGCTGCTGTCCAGTGAGGGTTTGTGTCTTCAGTTAGTCATCCTCTCACTTGGTCCCCAAATGTCATAAGGGATAAGGGTCTCTCTGGAGACCTTTTATAAGACTTTTAATCCCATCCAGAAGGGCTCTGTTCCAACAATCTACTCATCTCCCAAAGGCTCTACTTCCTAATACCATTACCTTAGGGTGAGAATTTAACATTTGAACATGACAGGGTTTCCTGTATGTGTGGGCAGCTGGGGATAGGTGGTGACACAAACAGTCACACCACAGTATGCTGTAGCATAATCACTTTTTCTATGTCTCTGGTGTTTACAACAGAAGCTGAGGTTTTAAGAGCAAGCCAGCCCCCTTTCTCTCTGTGCTCAGTAAATGCATGCTGAGAAGAAGACTGAGGAATGGCATATTCTTGTTGGTACACCCAATCTGGCTGTTTGCCTAGGCTGCAATTCTTTGATTAGTAGAAAGAGGACTGAGCTGAGATTCTGGTCTCCAAAGAGACAGCTTTGAGTTGAATCAGCTTCCCAGATGTGCCCTGGGTTCACAGAACCAATCCAAAGAGAAGCAAAAATCTGAACTGGTCGTAAAGGCTTTTTATCAGGGGTGAGAGCAGAACATTTCACAAACCAGAGGGGAGAGGCTACAAGTTCAGTCATGAGAGGCAGGAGAAGGAGGCAGGGATACAGGAGAGCTTGACCAGTCGAAGTCTAGGCTTGTGTATAGAGGGAAACAGATTACAACACAGCCTGGTGCCTGCTGCCTGAGTCCCAGATCAGTTCCATGGACTCCTGTCTGGATTGAGGAGAAAGACTGAGCCATTAGAAAAGCTGGACAAATCTCTTCCCTGAAAGCCATGTGGTACTCTGGGCCCTCAGCAGCTTAGCCTGTGTTGATGCCCACTATGTCAGAGGTAGGAGGAGAGCAGGTAGACAGTGCCGTGTTCTCTTGCAGATCACACCCCGTTGGCATTGTGGGAAGGGGCAACATGGCTGCTGTGCTGACATCATGAGCTTCTTCAAGGTCACTTTCATCCTAGAATGTCTTCTTAAAAACTTGGGAGCTAAGGTTTTATGTCACCTCTCGGGCTCAAGGAAAGAGTGGAGGACCCTGGAATTTGACTTGGGGTGGTGGTGGTGTGCATGATGGGTACATGTGTGTTGCAGACACAGCACCACTGAGTAGCTAAGTCACAATATAATCACTAATACCAACTCTCAGTGCAAAGAGCCCAAAATCATTTTCATAATGTTGAATGACACTGGTTCTTGCAGATTTGCCAAGTTTCTAAGGTCACCATAAGGTAGAAACTTAGACTCCACAATTGCAAGAGACTTCAGTGATCAAGGGCAGTGAATTATGACTTTAGCTGTACAATGGGGGGATTCTTTTTTAACGCAAAGGTTGTGATTGGAGGTGTAATTCAACAGCAGAATGTTTGCCCAGCATTTTAAAGGCCCTGTGTTTGAGTCTCAGCACTGAGAAATAATAAATAAACGAGAACATTTTTATAAAGGTTACCCTCACCAGATCAATTAAATCAGAATTCCTGGGCTAGAACCAAGTATTATATAATTCTGCTGATTTGTGTTAAGATTTGTGGAGATTTGAATGAAAATGGACACCCCCCTCAGGTCATATATTTGAATGCTTGGTTTTTAGTTGGTAGAACTGTTTGGGAAGGATGTTTGAAAAGTATGGCCTTGTTGAAGGAGGTGTGTCACTGGGGTTGACTATGAGGTTTCAAAAAGCCTGCACCATTGCCAATTAATCTTCTTTGCCTCGGGCTTGTGCATCAGATGTGAGCACCCAGCTATTGCTCCAGCACCATGTCTACTGCCTGCTGTCATGATTTCCACCATGATGTCCTTATTCATCCTCTGAAACTGTAAGCAAGCCCCCCAGTGAAGTGCTTTCTTTAATAAGTTGCCTTGTGTCACTTCACACCAATACAACAGTGACTAAGACAAAAACACAACAGCTTAATGTTTTCATTGTCAACAAAATTAAGTGATAGCATGATTCATAGGAGAGAAATAAAAGCTATTTAAAGAACAGGACTATGTTTTTTCAGAGGTAGGACTCTGAATCAGGTGCACTGGGTTCAACTCGTAGCCTGTCACTTACTTTCTGTGAACCTAGAAGACATTACTTGGTCTCTTGTTTTCTTCATATTTCAAATGAAAACAGTAGCTACCATCTCACAAGGCAGTTGTGAGTGCTAGCTTGAATTGTATTGTCCAAGTGCCTCAAACTACACTTGGCATGATGCTCAAGTGCTGTACAAACAGCTGTTATTACTTTCTCACAGGGCAAGCTTTTCACAGAACCAGGCTTATACTTGAAATTTATGAGACAGTTTTCTGTCTCATAAATAGGCTTTCATACGGGATTCTGCCTTTGGAACAAGGGGTGCAGAAATTAAAAACGCATGTATGTATGCACATTGGGCAATTAATAATCTACAGCTTTGATGTTATGTCAGAAAAGATGAATGGTCTCAACTATCTAGCAGATGCCATTCTAGGAACAAACACCTAGGACATTAGAAATGGCCATGAGGAAAATGGCTCTAGGATTAAAATGAAAATCTTTTTTTTATGATGTGGAGTGTTTCAAGCAAAATGGAATTGCATTTATGAATCTACATCTTATAAAATTATATTTCTAGGGGCTAAAGGGAATTATCATGAGCCTTTATGATGTGGAGTGTTTCAAGCAAAATGGAATTGCGTTTATGAATCTGCATCTTATAAAATTATATTTCTAGGGGCTAAAGGGAATTATCATGAGCCTTCATTACAGTTCAAGGGATGGGCAATAAAAATGCTTTCTGAGAGAGAGCAGGCAGATGAGAAGAACAGAGAGGCTAGGTGAGCTATCTTGACTTTTAAACAGCTAGAAGCCCCTATAAATTCCTCCACGACCCCAAAAGTTGGTGTTTTTAAATTAAATTTAAATTACCCACTTAACAATTTTATACACACTTAACCTTTTTATTTTGTTAGTGGATGTTGTATTTGTTTGGTAACTTACAACAGGTTCAAATTAGATATCTGAATATTTATCTTCATGATTTAGAGTGATTCTCACAGAGGATGGGATGTTCCTGAGGGACACTGGCTCCTTACCTGTAAGCATCACTGAAGAGCTAGGCAATGGGTCTGGAATGGCTTCTAGCTCTGTCAATGCATTTTGTCAGGGTTGCCTTCTACACTTCTGATGTGTTCATACCGAGCATCATCAGAATCTTCTAGAAGGGAAGGAGAGCTCCACTAGAGGTGTGTTCACACTGAAGGGGAGAGCTCCACTAGAGGTGTGTTCATACTGAAGGTGAGAACTCCACTGGAGGTGTGTTCACACTGAAGGGGAGACCTCCACTAGAGGTGTGTTCACACTGAAGGGGAGAGCTCTACTAGAGGTGTGTTCACACTGAAGGGGAGAGCTCCACAGAGGTGTGTTCACACTGAAGGGAGGCTCCACAGAGGTGTGCTCACACTGAAGGGGAGAGCTCTACTAGAGGTGTGTTCACACTGAAGGGGAGAGCTCCACTAGAGGTGTGTTCACACTGAAGGGAAGAACTCCACTAGAGGTGTGTTCACACTGAAGGGGAGAGCTCTACTAGAGGTGTGTTCACACTGAAGGGGAGAGCTCCACTAGAGGTGTGTTCACACTGAAGGGGAGAGCTCCACTAGAGGTGTGTTCACACTGAAGGGGAGAGCTCCACTAGAGGTGTGTTCACACTGAAGGGGAGAGCTCCACTAGAGGTGTGTTCACACTGAAGGGGAGAGCTCCACTAGAGGTGTGTTCACACTGAAGGGGAGAGCTCCACTAGAGGTGTGTTCACACTGAAGGGGAGAGCTCCACTAGAGGTGTGTTCACACTGAAGGGGAGAGCTCCACTAGAGGTGTGTTCACACTGAAGGGGAGAGCTCCACTAGAGGTGTGTTCACACTGAAGGGGAGAGCTCCACTAGAGGTGCTGTTCACACTGAAGGGGAGAGCTCCCCTAGAGGCGCTATTCACACTGAAGGGGAGACCTCCACTAGAGGTGCTGTTTGCACTGAAGGGGAGAGCTCCCCTAGAGGCGCTGTTCACACTGGCTTCACCAGGCTCCTGTACCTACTGGTATTTTGTTGTTATATTCCTTCCTTCAAGGACCCTTTTTTCCTAAAATCTTGGAAACACATCCTTCAGTGACTCTTTCATCCAAGACCCATTAGAAGTCAGTTCTCTTAGTCTTTGGAAGTGTCTTCCCTAAGGGTGAGGTCTGTGAGATTTGACTTCTACATTAAAGCTCTTGGCCAGAAGGTAGCACATGTCCTTGGCCCCAGAACTTGGGAGGCAGAAGCAGGCAGATCTCTGTGAATTTCAGGCCAGAATGGTCTACAAAACAAGTTCCAGGAAAGACAGGGCTATTACATAGAGAAACCTTGTGTCAAAAAATAAAACAAAACTAAAAGTTTTTGATGAATAATTATTTTGTAATTTATGAACCCATAAATACATGGATAATAAAGGAGACAAAAATAAAACCCTTGGAAGCCCCCAAAAAACGTGACCAAGAAAAAGTATCAAGCAAGTTGAAGAAAGTCAAACTTAAAGCTAAAAAGTTTTTGATGAATAATTATTTTGTAATTTATGAACCCACAAATACATGGATAATAAAGGAGACAAAAATAAAACCCTTGGAAGCCCCCCAAAAAAGTGACCAAGAAAAAGTATCAAGCAAGTTGAAGAAAGTCAAACTTAAAGCTGTCTTGCTTTTTGTTGAAGGATCATTAAGAATGCAGACAGTGGCAGCATCAGACAGAGCTGTACATGGGAGTGAAGAGCATGGCTTGAAACAGGGAGGATCAGGACCCAGGAGAAAAATTGTTTCCCTAGGCGCCTTCCTCACCTCTTGCTCCTGGTGATGTATCTCAATCCTAGCAAAAGAATGATATTTACTTTCCAGAGAAAGTAAGATAAAATCCACTGGGCTAGATGGTACAGACTGAGTTACACATGTGTCCACCACAGGATCCAGTGGAAGGAGATGATGCTGCTCACTCAGCTTTCAGAGGGGTTTCATCCAGAATCTTTCCTTCATGGTAAAAGAACTGGAAAGATAGAAAAACCATCTCTGAGGACTGTGATGGGTCCATAAATAAAAAATAACCATCCTGATACCTAGGTTTCCTAAGCACTTGACTCAGCCCGATCACTGCCCTGACATTTACTCAGAACCTCCCATCAACTTTTTAAATTCTCCACAAATAGACATGATCAGACACCCAAGACAGACAAGGGAGGACTCTAACATGCAAGATAGAGATCAACTAGGCAAACTACAAACAGAGAAAATAAATAAATGAAACAGTTTGGAGGAAAAATAAATTATATTTGGAGAGAAAACTTCAAAATAAAGTTATTATTAATGTCCTTAAAGAGATGAACAATGATATGAAATCCCAGAAACAAGGTTGGAATGTTACTTCAAAAGCCACATTCAGGAAACATAAAAGTCTCAGAGATTAAAAACATGGCAGAATTGAAACTCTCAACAGAAAGCTTGGAAGGGTGTGTTGAATCTAACTCCTAGGAAACAGCAAAAAGGCAATAGAAAAAACAGAACCAATGGTTATATAGAATATAACTATAACTATGTATTTATGTTTGCTATTATATAAAAACATATTAAATTGTACACTATATTATAGACCATTGTATTTTTATGAGGAAGCAAAGGCAGGCAGGTCTCTGTGACATCAAGGCCAGTCCTGTCTCAAAAAACAAAACAAAACAACACTGTATTAAGCAATCTAGGAAAGTCAATATCTACATAGAATAGCAGAAAAAGAGAATAAAGAAAATTAATGAGGAAAAAATAATGATTTAAGAAAAAGTCTGTGAGCTTCCAGATTGAATAGCTCACAAAATTCTCAGAACAATGCATGAAATAGACTCCTACAAAGGCATAGCTTTAAGAACTTCCAAGCACGGGGCAGGAAGATCTTAAAACCCTTTAAAAGGCAAATTCAAGTCATAGACACTAAAAAACCAAACAGACTTACAATATGTAAACATTGATGATTGAGCTAAATAAAACTATATTATGACTATTAAAATATGAGGGTCTGGGAAATGTACATGTACATAGTTGGAACAAAAGGAGAGAACTCCCTATCAGCTATTTTTCTTTCTGTTTTGTCAAAACACCCAACCGCAGCAACTTAGGAAGGGTCTATTTGAGTTCAAGGTTTAAGAAAGGAAATGGTCTATCATGGCAGAGAAGATGGATCTTGGTAACACTGCGCCTGTAGTCAAGAAACAGATACAAACACTGATTTTTTTAAAAAAAATTCAGTGCCTAGCTTATGGAATTGTGCCACCAATTCTAGTTCTCTAATTTCTCTAGAAGTGCCCTTACAGATTCCCACAGAGGTTTGTTTCCAAATCTTCATCTTATGATATGGAAATACTTATTTTGTTATGCTCTGGCCTCTACTGATATTGATGAGAAGTTATTGAAAGTCTAGTTGTTGGTCCTCTGTATGGAATCTGTATTATCTGAATGTCTTAAAGACTTGCTGGTGTCAATTACCTTTCTGTGGTTTCCCCCAATTTTCAAGTCATGGTGAAGATCTAAAGGGCCTTGCTAAGTAAGATTTAGGATCTTTTAAGAATCCTTATAGTGGGGTTGGGGAAATGGAACTGTCAGTAAAGTGCTTGCCACATAAAAATGAGGAATGGAATCCCCAGCGCACGCACACACACCACACACACACAGAAAGAGAGAGAGCAGGTTTATCAGCATGTACCTCTGATTTCAGTACAGGGGAAGTAGAGACAGGATGAGTTCCAGGTTCAGTGAGAAACCATGTCTCAAAATATAAAGTGGCCTCAACTATGTGTGCATATACATATACATGAACATGTTCTCTCTCTCTCTCTCTCTCTCTCTCTCTCTCTCTCTCTCACACACACACACACACACACACACGTGTTGTACAGGGGTGGAGTTGCTTACTGGGCTCATCAACATCCCTGGATGAAAATTTCTACCCACAAGGTTAAATCAATGGAGACAGTAGAAGAGCCTCTGGAAAACATTCAGAGTCACCATGAGTAATGAATGAGTCTTTCCTCAGAAAAAGCATACTCAGTGGGTACAAGGTTATGAAATGCTGTTGATTTTGGAAATAACTGAAACCAATTTGGGCCTTGCAATTCTTCCAGGAGCGTAGCAGGAAGGATTCTATAAGGCTTCCCCATCATTTCATTGCTGCCTCGTTTTCCCTTCCATCCCCAAACTATGGAAGAGTTGAGAGGAGAATCGTGTGAGCTGATTGTCACTGGTAGTCTGTGTGAGACTCAACAGTGGCAATAGGTACATTTAGAATTGAACCGCTAGCAATTTATCTTACCTGAAATCAAGAATAGTGGAATAGATTTGTTGGCAGCAAAAATCTCACAAGCTTGTTTTATTTGGAAAAAGGTTTTCAGAATCACTTTCTTCTACTTTAGAGGAAAAAAACACACTGTCAACGAAAATGCAAATGAAGAGAATAACCAAGTGATAATTAGCATAGGATATTTTGACACCCGAAATTCCTTCATCTCCCATTGACCTTGAATAAGTCATTTCAGCACAGCCTTACTGCCACATGTTTGGGAAGTTTATTAAATTCACTCTGTGGACTGTCTGCTGCATGTGAAAATGAAGTGCAAGACATTTTGTTCCTTTCAAATTTATAGAGAGTCTGTAAAATAACATATTCAGCAAGAACCATCAAATGTTCACTTTTGTGCACAAATGGTAGTCCAAATAATCAAACAGAACTTTATATATAAATGTTAGCATCATCCCTGTTATGACTTTCAAAAGCCTAAACACAGTGGTTCCCAGTTGCAAATGCAACTCCACCCAGTGCATCCTGCCTCCTGTTGTCTTGGTGACCCATTGGTATTGAATACAGAGGAGGGGAAGTAACTCAGCAAATGAGCAAGAGGGCCAATCTTCCCTTCTTGCCAGAACCCTTGCATTTTGTTTCCTAATCTTGTTCATCCTCATGCAATTAAGCTGCAAAACATGCTTCTCCAAGAACCTGTCAAATGTACGACTTTCAAAGATCGCGCTGGAGTTGAAGAAGCTTGATCCTTTACATACAAATGGCATTTAGTTTACTCTAAGAGGAAAATGATAAATCCATCAAGACTTTCGGGCTTAAATTGCTTTCAAGGACCCTCAACTTAATTAAAAGAGGACAATATACAAAAGAAGTTGACCTTTTCCATGTAAGCTCTAAATATGCCATCATTAATGAATTTCATTACAGGAGAGACTACAATGAACAACTGTAGTTCAGTTCAGCATTTAAGTGCAGATAACAAACTGGCAGACCAGTGGTTATCATTTTAAGTAGTTAAAACACTGTGACTAAGCCATTCTCCTAAAATGGACAAATTAATATATTCTAAAGAATACATTTTATTTAGAATGTAGGGGTCATATTAATGATCTCTCATTCTCCTTTCAGAGAGGAAGAATTATGGGGCTGACTGGGTTTCCTTCTTTGCAGTTGTGTGAACCTTCATTATGCTACCCCCTTGAAGGGAATTAGTTTTACAGTAACGAATAAATAGCTAAAACAAAATTTGACATTGTAGTGGGAGAAAAAAAAACCACCTAATTTTAAGAGCAAATGTCCATTATAATGTGCTGACAAATTCAAAGCATCCATTCTGAGCAACGAATGCACAAGGAAACTCCACAACAGTGGGTAACAGAAAGGAGATATCCTGACTGGATTTTTTCCTAAAATCTCACCTCAAGTACCAAGTACTCTCCTTCAACAGTTCTACATATCTTTCAACAGTTACTCTAAAAATGAAATGAAGGAAAACAAAACACTGTCTGAAAAGCCCACTCTATTCCTATTAGAAACTCATGGTCAATTCCACGATTATCAAGTTTTTATTTGTTAAGTCTTACTGCTCCCAGCCCAGCCTGGATTGGCAGCAGAGACTGACCTGATGGCAGGGGTTCACTCAGTGCCAGTAGTGTAGTGGTACTATCACTAATTAGAGCTTCAAGAGCATCATATTTTTTCATTTAAATTCTTTATTTACCACTCATATTTACATAGCCATTTCCCCATTCCCTTGCCCTCCCATCCTCCCATGTTCCCCACCAACCCCCCCAACCCATCCTCCAACTCATTCCCAGGGATAGTGAGGCCCTCCCCAGAGGACCTTCAAAGTCTGTCATATCATTTGGGGAAGGGCCTAGGCCCTCCT